GAAAAAGGTGCTACTATTTACCAAAACAGTAAGCCTGTTATTAAGGGTAAGTTTTTAACCACTTTAATTGCTGCTGAATTTATTGTTAATAGGGATGTAATTAATAGTATTGTGCAAGCACATAGTAGTACAAATATAACTAAAGATTATAAATTGTGGCATGAACGTTTGGGGCATATAAGCAAATTTAAATTTTTAGAATTAAGAAATAAACTTATGGTAAAAGATTTAGGAGAAATCGATAAGGTTACACCTAATGACTATTTATGTGAAGCTTGCATAAGTGGTAAACAAGCACGACTGCCATTCCAAAAACATAAAGATAAAAGGGATATTAAACGACCCTTGTATAGAGTTCATTCTGACGTATGTGGTCCTATCACTCCTTCAACAGTTAATAATAAAAATTATTTTGTTCTTTTTGTTGATGAATATACTCACTATTGTGTTACATATTTAATAACACACAAGTCAGATGTATTTTCTGTATTTAAAGATTTTGTTGCTAAAAGTGAGGCACATTTTAACTTAAAAATTGTTAATTTATATTGTGACAATGGAGGGGAATATTTGGCTACTGAAATGAAAGATTTTTGTGTGCAAAAAGGTATAAGTTATCATTTGACAGTTCCACGAACCCCACAATTAAATGGTGTATCAGAACGAATGGTTAGGACAATTACTGAAAAAGCTCGTTCAATGATTTTTGGTGCCAAGTTAGAAAAATGTTTTTGGGGTGAGGCAGTTTTAACTGCAACATTTTTAATTAATTTAACCCCTACCAAAGCATTAAATGAATTAAAAACACCATATGAAATGTGGCATAATAAAAAGCCGCAAGTAAAATATTTAAAAGTTTTTGGTTCTACTGTTTATGTACATAATAAAACTAGAAAAACAAAATTTGACAATAAATCCTGGAAAGCTATACTAGTTGGTTTTGAACCAAATGGGTATAAAGTGTGGGATGTGAATAACAATAAGTTTGTTATAGTAAGGGATGTTATTGTAGATGAGACAAATTTTTTATCGTCCAGGCCAGAAACTGACTCCTCTGACTGTTTGTCAAGATCAGTAGGTAATGAAACTGACTCCTCTGACTGTTTGTCAAGATCAGTAGGTAATAAAACTGACTCCTCTGACTGTTTGTCAAGATCAGTAGGTAATGAAACTGACTCCTCTGACTGTTTGTCAAGATCAGTAGGTAAAGAAACTGACTCCTCTGACAGTTTGTCAAGATCAGTGGTTAATAATAATGAGTGTAATAAATCTGTAATTAAAACAGATAGGCCAAATAATAATATTCAGTGTGAACCCCAACTAAGACGAAGTGGTAGAATCAAGAATCTTTTGCCTATTTCTTATAAAGAAACTGATTCGACAAATGATCATTTTATATGTGCTCAATCAGTTGTTTGTCAAATTCCTTTATCATATAAGGAAATTAAAAATAGAGAAGATACATTTCAGTGGGAACAAGCTGTACAAGACGAAATAAATTCCCTCTTGTTAAACAAAACGTGGTCATTGGTATCAAGACCAGAAAATAAAAATATAGTGGACTGCAAATGGGTGTTTTCGATTAAAAATGATGAATTTGGAAAACCGTTAAGATATAAAGCTCGCTTAGTAGCGCGTGGTTTTAGTCAAGAATACTTGGTAGATTATGATGAAACATTTGCCCCAGTAGCAAGAATTACATCTTTTAGGTTTATAATTGCCTTTTCAAATCAATTTAATCTTTTAGTACATCATATGGATGTTAAAACAGCCTTTCTAAATGGGACATTAAAGGAGGAAATTTATATGAAGGTCCCTGAAGGGGTCACAAGTAAACCAAACCAAGTTTGTAAATTGCATAAAGCTTTGTATGGGCTAAAACAAGCTGCCAGATGCTGGTTTGAAATATTTGAAAAAGTTCTTATAGACAAAGGTTTTCAGAATTCATCAGTTGACCGCTGTATTTATATTTTAGACAGAGGTGCCATATGTAAAAATATTTATGTTGTTCTTTATGTAGACGATCTTGTGATTGCCACTGCAAATAGTGATACAATGAGTAGTTTTAAAAGTTATTTGGCAAATAAATTTTGTATGGTTGATTTAAAAGAGATTAAACTGTTTTTAGGTATTAAAATTACAAGAATAAATGATAAAATTTCTTTAGATAAATCGTCATACATAAATACTGTTTTAAATAAATTTAATATGTTTGACTGTAATGCTGTCAGCACTCCCCTTCCCAGTAAACTAAATTTTAATGAGTTAAATTCTGAAGTAAAATATGATTGCCCTTGCCGAAATCTTATCGGCTGTTTGATGTATATTATGTTGTGTACCAGGCCAGATTTAAGTGCTGCTGTTAATATTTTAAGCAGGTACCAAAACAATAATAATAAAGAGCTTTGGCAATGCTTAAAAAGGGTCCTTAGATATCTTAAGGGTACAATTAATTTAAGGTTAACATATGTTAAATGTGATTATAGCAATGTCTTAAGTGGTTATGTAGATTCTGACTGGGGAGGTGATGATGTAAAAAATAGGAAAAGCACAACTGGTTACCTATTTAAATTATTTGAAAAATGTGTAATATGTTGGAATACAAAAAGACAGTTATCAGTAGCGGCATCATCTACTGAAGCCGAATATATGGCTCTATTTGAAGCTGTCAGGGAGGCTCTTTGGTTAAAGTCATTAGCAATAAGTATAAATTTAAATGTATCTAAGCCAATCATTATATATGAAGACAATAATGGTTGCATAAGTATTGCTAATAATCCAACAAATCATAAAAGATCAAAACATATTGATATAAAGTATCATTTTTCTAGGGAACAAGTAGAGAAAGGTGTAATTAAATTAAAACATTTGTCCACAGATAAGCAAGTAGCTGACATGTTTACAAAATCATTACCGGCACTGAGATTTGAAGAATTAAAAAAGGAATTAGGGTTAGAAAGTATTGAATAAGTTAAATGGTTTGATTAGGTTTTTCTGGGTTTTTCCTAATCTTAAACAGCAAATGCTGGACCATCATTGTAATTTTCCCAGAAAAGACAAACATAAGGAAAGCAGGTCTAGATACTTATATTCTTAAGTTATAACTTACGTATGTTATTTAGTTACATGGTATTGTAGTTTTATGTTAACATAATTTTAGTTTTATGTTATTTTAATTTTACTTATTTGAATAATATTTGAGGTGGCGTGTTGAATAAGCTGATATAAACATATATTAGTTAAACCAAATATTATTAAATAAAACTTCTTTATCTTTACCTCGTAGATTTACTGTTTATAATATCAGCACAGTTAATGTTACGTGCTTGCATATGTTTATGTAAGAATGAAATAGGGCGTGTGTGCTCTAATAATATTTTGTATCACTTTTAGTTTTAGTCTCCTCTACGCTTGCTTTCCGAGTTGTCTTAGACTGAAGACAATTAAATATTTAAAAGTTAAATTATAATATCTTTTATTTCACTGTCCATATACCTAACAATTTCCATAGGCAAATTTTCTCTGATATAACAGACCTTTTTTTTCTTTTAAAAATATACTTTTTTATTAAAATTACAAGGTGAAGCCAGGCCATGTTCTTAAGCATTTTATGGTGATGCTTTGTCACTGCACCATTTTAATAATAAAAATGCTTGTTTATGTTTTTATAATTTTAAGCAAAATTTAAAAATAAATATACAATATGTATCTGTATGAGTAGATAGTTAATTTTTATAGTAAATTGATCAAATAACATTTATGGATCACACAAACGAGGCGAATTTATTGTACGTTGCAAACTACAGCTTATGTAATATACTTTTCATAATCATGAGTACTTTTTTAAGCAGTTACATTATTATTGAAATAATGGTTTATATTGAATGAACTTAATTATTCATTATGTTTTACTATAAAACCATATATTTGCATGTATTAAAATGATGAAGGTTAAACGTAATTATTTTTTACGTAATAATAATCTGTTCCGTGAATTAAGTTATTTAGTTGCTTAGACACATGTATCTAATGACAAAAATCATATTTTTTTGTCAAGAAGCTTCTAGTTAGTTACTTTTAAATACTTATTACTTTTGTGTAGTAAAGCATGATTTATTGGGTCATTTTATCATATGCATATAATATATTATATGTTCTTTGTTTAGAAAAGAAATACACGTGTGAAAATTATTTGATAAAGAAAAAATAAACATATACATTTATAAACAAATTACAATAATAGGTAATTATGTATTAAACTATTTTTAATTAATTTTCATTAATACATTTTTAATTCAATCTTTTATTAAAATGTTGTATGTACTTTAGTTAAATTTTACATATTCCCCGCATTAGGGTGTAGTGAAATACATGATGGTAACCATTTATAATGCCTATATTATTATATTGGAAAAAGTATTGTCCTATTACCACAACTAAGAAAAAAAATTATATTGATCAGGCAATGTTTGAAGGTTCCGCCAGCTTTTTAAAATTCAGAAGATAAAATCTGCACTTTAAAGAGGTGGCGGACCCTCCAAAGATTGTCCTATCAAATTTTTTTTTTCGTTAATTGTGATAATAGTTCACCACTTTTCCGAATATAGGCGTATTAAATTTTTACCATAATGTATTTTGCTTAGCTAATATAGGCATATTAAATGGTTACCATCATGTTTTTCACTCCACCCTAACCCACATTTATTTAATGAATAAACAGTATGAAACTTGCTGACCCCTACACATTTTAGCTATAGTCTAAGACACTTAGGCACCTTGCTATTATGTGAATTACGGAACGTAAAGTTGTAGTAATGCATTAAAAGCTCTAAGCGTCAAAGTTTCAATAGATTTTTACCATACAAAGACAGTCCAACAAACCATTTTAAATAAAACTGGCTTGTTGGATTGTTTTTTGGGATATTTTTAAATATAATTAATTTTATCTTCATTTTTTAAAAACTTTAAACTAAAATGATTGCTATTGTAACTTACCTAATTTACAAATGTGTAACAATAATTTCATCATCAATATCGTCTTTTTCATCGTCGGTCTCTTCTGGTTCTGGTGGTTGTTTGCTGGCCTCGAGAGCGGCGGCCTTCTTTTCCTTGGATTTCTGTCTCCTGATTTTGCGCATGTGATGAATTTCAACGATGGCGTACATGAACACACCTGTTACCAGGATGATAAGCATCACGTAAAGCTTCATGCGGGCACACAGATGAGTCGAGTAAGCATAGGCTATCACGAAGCCCACACTCTCCCAAAGACGGTAGTTAGAGAAAGCTGCTTCCTTGTTTCTTCTGAACAGTGTACCATAAAGTCCTATTGAATACATAGTAAATTATATACTATAATATAAATGTTAACTAAAATTATATATATATTATAAATACATAATAATAGTTATAATGTTAGTTCTAAACACATTCAATCATGAACATTTTTAGAAATTTGTGTTTAAAAAAAGAATTGCTTTAGAAAACGAATGATGATTATTTCAGCTGGCTTCTGGGACTTCTTAGGAAGTAAGAGTGAAACTTAAGGAGCACTTTTGTATATATATGCAAAGTTTACATAATATATAATATATAATAATTTGTATTCCAATATAACTTTGTTATCTAATAAATACAAAAAAAACTATTTTAGAACATAAATCTTTTATGACACAATAAAATTACCCACAAGAACCAAACGTATTGTTTATTAATATATATGTTATGTCTTACATAACTTTTTAATTGTAAGATATGTGAATATATTTTTAGTTTGCAAATTAGTAATTTTTTTAATAAATAGCCCTACTATTGGGGTAACAGTTTAAAATAAATGTATATAATTTTAAGGATTTCAGTGGTAAAATATTTATTTTTAAATTCTAACAAATGCATTGATTTGTTATCATTTAACTGGTATTAATCAGTTCTCACTTTTAAAATAATGATGAAAAAATATAATACTGCCGTGCTAAGCTCAACTAATATATAAGGCTGTTTAATTTGCAACCCAAATCACAAATTAATTTTTTAATTTAAAAAACTAAACAGTTTTTTATTTTTATGACTCAGGTTATGTAATAAGTTATCAGAAAATTATGTTTAAATATTGGGAAATCGTTAACATCTTCACGATCGGTTCTTGGTACCCACTTAAAGACGGTAATTTTCCGTAACTGATTTATAAACCATATAAGTACTAGATTCCGTGACCACAACCAACCAACAATCGGGAGTAGAAAGTTTATGATTTTGTACTTATTTATTGCCTATTACTGACTTTGTCACATAAATATATCAAAAAATCTAATATAAACCACTAAGTAAGTGTAGGGTAATGCAGGTCATCATATTTAAAAATCAGCTAACTAATATCTAAAAAATATTTATATTTTAACATGTCGATTAATCCTCTATTATACATTAAAAACCAAACTAAATATCAAAAATTAATTCTTAAAATAAATTATTCAAAATAAGGTTAAATTATAAAAAAGAGTCTAACAAAAATTATTTATCAAAAAGACTCGTTTTCCTCTAATCATTTTTGTAATTAATTTTTAAGATTGGTATTTTTTTACTTTATGTAAGATTAATCAAGAACTACCTAATTTTATAAATAAAATTACATTGTACAATTTTTCTATCTGCCTTTACCGGCTGAACTCAAGGACATATAGGTTTTTTCAACATTATTATGGTTGTATCCAATTACATCAACTTTCACGTCGAAAACAGCTTGGTGGTCTAAAGGACTCGCCAAGATGAAAAATAAACTGGGAAATCTATTTAACAAAGCTCCAAGTCCTCCAAAAATGCCAATAATCCTTTTTAAAGAACGTATGTACTAAAAGGAAGCCATAAAAATACTAAAGTGTAGAAATGAAATAACTCTAGCAAACGTCACACTTGCATTATGGACAAGAGTGTCCGAGAGACACTTCTTCTAGGTGCAGTGCGTGATCAGATTGTACGAAGCTATAATTTCAACACACAGGTGTGGATAAATGGATCCCCAAACACCTTACCTAATATCTATCTAACTTTACATACGGATACAGAACAAACTCAGGCTCTGGAGGGGGGATATGTTGTCAGAACCCCTCCATACGTTTCAGTATATAATTGGGTATCTATACGACCATATTCCAATGGGAAATCATAGGCGTACTGGAGGCAGCTCATAAAATAATATGTTTATGTAAATGGGAAAACAATAAGAATCCTCTCAGACAGCAGGGCCTCCTTAAGTCATAATATAATTGTCGGAGACGGAAGCTTTGAAGCTGATAACAATAAACAATGTCCTAAAAACTTTATGGGTTAAAGGACACAATGGTAATAAAGGAAATAAAAAAGCTGAAGAACTTGCAAGACAGGGATTGTCAAAGCTGACAGTGGGTCCTGAATCTGTCCTACCTCTAACCAAATCAACTTTAAAAGTCCACATAAAATCACCCATGAAAAACAAGTAAGAAGATTAGTTTACTTAAGTTTATTCCGTCAGACCTTAGAAATAATACTAGTATTAGTATTGTTTCTATGCGTTAGACCAACACTATTATCAGTCTGACAAGCTGGCTAAATACAGCCTACACCGAGGGGTAAACCACTTTAAAATCTTAGAGACCAACGTTCAATGTTAGTGGACGTTGTGTTCCTTATCAGTCGTTATCAATAAGGAACTTGCTTATCAGTGCTTATCAATAATAAATATCTCTTAGCGACGCGTTATTGTTATCCTTAGCCGTTAATTCGTAAGCGATTTTTAATTTTAAAAAATCAGTGGTTTACCCCTCGGTCTACACTGTAGACTTTACAGCTATCTTGTTAAAACACTTTAAATAAAAGTGCAAAAAAAGTGAACTTACACAAAAGCTACAAAAATGCAATACCGAAAATATAAACAAATAAAACATGTTTGCATTCTACCAGGAACAGAAAGCATTTTGCCATAGTAGTGGTTACAAGTTGTTCTAGCATAGTATTCTATTTTCTTTTACATTTTATTTATTTACTATAAAAACTGAATTTATAAAATTAACGTTATTATCATTAGGTATAGGTTGCAATTTATAAGGTTCTTAATTACATTTTATATAAAAAAATTAACAACCAATAAAGTTTTGGTAAAATAATGGAATTTAAAATAAAATTTATAAATTATAATTATATAAAAATATATTTCCGTTAATTGCCATGCATGTGATATTTAACAGATAACAGTAAACAATAAATTTTAATAAAACATCATGAAGAGAGCTGTTTACCTTGCCAAAGGTTGATTTTTTAATGTAACAAAACCCGATGTTGATTTAAAAAAATATATGTTTATTAATTTAAATATAAATATAGGTGTAAACGTTTTAAATATTTTATACATTTAGTGGGTCAGTGAATTTAGCGTGCAAACATTTAAATAAATAATTTGAGCAATTGAAGGGTCCAGTTCAATAACCGGCCAAGTACATTTTTAACCAAATTTAGTTAGGTAACAGCCAATTCTTACATAGAAAAAAATATTTTTTACCCTGTGTAATAATCAGCTCTCTATTGTATAAAATAAATAATACACAGGTTTTTGATACCTGCCTACCATAAAATACTTTGCAATTACGAGCCATCACCAGGACTAATTGGTCTTTCGAAAATGTTACTGTTATGGCATTGGACCCTTTAATTTTGGTTTGGAAGGTGGAAGTGTATTTAAATTAAGAATAAATATAGGTATTAAACTTTAAAAATTTGTTTTCTTAAATTATTTCATATTTGCAAGGAGAAATCATGTTAGCTCACAATTTAGAAATTTTTCCGTTTTAAAATTGCAAAATTTACATTTATACATTTTCTTTTGTTATCTGATCAATGCTAAAAATAATTGCAAATAATTAAACACCGATTGTATTAAAATGAACATTTAAAATTACATGTGCCGCATAAAGATTATTGCAATGAATTAAAAATATTACCAATCCAGTGGTCCTGTAAGGATAAAGATCATAAGATTGAGCATAAAAATATAAACATAGATATGTTTAGCATGTTAAGAACCATTAATAATATTAATCCTTAATGAAGCAATTACATTCCTTGCTCAGAAATTCCAGAAACAAGGAAGTTGACAAGATGTATTTTATTAATATGGATTTTTAAGCCTGTCTTTTATATTTATCACTTTACACTTCAATAAACAATTAATTAAATAAAAACGTCATTTATAATTTTGCCTTTCATATTTATATATATATATATATATATTTTATATATATATATATATATATATATATATATATATATATATATATATATATATATATATATATATATTAGGGTGGCCCAAAAAAAAAGAAAAAATTTTAATGGTGCTGATCTTTTGACAGGGCTCTTAAAATATGACAAACCAACATTTTTTCACAAGAGACGAGAAGAAAAAAAATATTCTTTTTTTTTGGGCCACCCTAATATATATATATATATATATTAGGGTGTCCCTTATTTTTTATTTTTTCACGCATACCCTCTAATTATATTTATTACGTGTTTATATACCAGTAAAAATTTCAGCTTATTCTATAAACGGGAACCCGTGCCGACTTGCATCTGAACCCTCCGTTAGCCAACGTTAGGCGCGCGGTATTTTGTAACACGGTTGGTCGCGAGGTTCGATCGTAAGTCATTTTGTGTTTGTTATTATGTGACCCTTATATTATAAATTATTTACAAATGTTAAAATATAGTTTTATTTATATGTATACTTTGATAAAAATGTATATTTTCACAGGGAGTGGCTAGTTACCCGGAAAGGTCTGATGAATAGGCCGTAAACTCTGAAATTGATAAACTTAATGGGTTTTACTCTAAATACCTAAAGGAGTCTATTTTGAGAGATGACTACCGAAAACTTATTGAATTGTCTGAAATATTTTTAGGAGGACATCAAGAAAAGAAATGCTTATAAAAAGCTGAAATTTCATATAACAGTATATTTTAGCAATACTAATTAGTATATTAATATATTTAAGGGATAAAATCAACTAAATTAGTGAAACAAATGATAGAAACAAAAGCAATAATATTAATTAGTAATCATATTTAATAAAATCATTAGAAAAATACAGTCATGAAGTAAATCTTTTTTTTAAAGTGTTTTTTTTACAATTAGGATATAGATTTCTGTGCTGTTGCACGCAACGCAGAAGAAATTGTTTCTGCTCTTCATCGGCGGTTAACAAACCGTGAAAGTCCTGCATTATCTTAGCTCAATAAGTTTTCGGTAGTCATCTCTCACAATAGACTCTTTTAGTTATTTAGAGTAAAACCCATTAAGTTTATTAATTTTAGAGTTTACGGCCTATTCACCCGACACTTCCGGGTAACTAGCCACTTCCTGTAAAAATATTCATTTTTATTAAAGTATACACATAAATAAAACTATATTTTAACATTTTTTAATCATTTATAATATAAGGTTCACATAATAACAAACACAAAATGACTTACGATCAAAATACCGCGTGCCTAACGTTCAGATGCAAGTCGGCACGGGTTCCCATTAATAGAATGAGCTGAAATTTTTACTGGGAGTATATAAACAAGTAATAAATATAATTAGAGGGTATGCGTAAAAAAAATAAAAATAAGGGACACCCTAATATATATATATTAGGGTGAGCCAAAAAAACTAACCTATCGGATTTATGGGTTAAAATGAACCTACATACCGAGCAAAAAATTTCCCTGCAAGGCAAAATTTTTTGCTCAATTTTAAAAGGTGTCGGTGAGCATTCTAAGTTTTCCATTGAAATAACACGTGTAGAACATAAAATTTCCCAAAGAATCTATACCATGATTATTTTTTTTTAATTCAAAAACTCGTATGTTTGAAAGCTTTGAAAAGTGTAAAAAATCACTAAAACTGCAGTTTGTAGTGTTATTTCAATGGAAAACTTAGAATGCTCACCGACACCTTTTAAAATTGAGCAAAAAATTTTGCCTTGCAGGGAAATTTTTTGCTCGGTATGTAGGTTCATTTTAACCCATAAATCCGATAGGTTAGTTTTTTTGGCTCACCCTAATATATATATATATATATATATTATATTTGTATATATTTTTTATCTATTTTGGTTTCATAATGACTTCATTATAACACCGCTTTTGGTTCTTTAATGAGGTACTTTATTCCACCCAAAATTTTGATTTTATAGGTTGGCTACTGGTAAAATACAATTTTGAATACCTATAGGTTATAATATTTTTATGATTTGTTTTCTAGTACTTACGAGACTTTTCGTGCAATAAATTTTGTTTAACACCAAAGAAAATCCTTTTTTCTTCTTTAACAGCCGCTTATTGTAAATACTTATTGTAAATTAACGACGCCATAGCGAAAGAATGTGATAATGTTTGAAAGGTTAATGACCCTTCAAACTTCAAAATGTGATACCAACTATGTAAAGTAAAATTCCACCAAATTAAATATAAGGTATAAAATTAATTTGTTTTATGAAATGTTTGCAAAATAGATAAAATAGCATAAAGAACTCATGTCATAAGACCTTTTGTCGCACTTGTCCATTATAAAACTCGCTCCTTCGTCGCTCGTTTTATAAATTGTCCGCGTGCGACAAAATGACGTCTTATGACATTAGTTCTTTAATATACTAATATGTAATCATTATTATTTCGTTAAAATACTTGTTTTTTAATGTACTTTATACAAAAATTTTCGACATTTAATTTATTTTCAATTAGAAAACGGATTTTCAAAGAATTAATTTTATTCTTGTTTATTCATTGAATGAGAGAATTATATAGAATTAACTTACCGTTTACTTGTGTCTGCCATACAGAGTCACCAACACCCCAAAGTCCTGAAGCAATGAAAAAGGCAATAGGATTTTCTGGATGTGGTCTCCAGATGAGAAGCCAAATTTGCAGGGCAACGTGAACCAACGCTCCAAAAATCATAATTGGCGCCCTTCCAATGTATTTCATCACAGTACCAAAAAGCAAACTGCAGATGGCGTTGACGACGCCGAAGCAGATCATAACGTAGCCCACGGATGGGATGCCCAAAGCACAGGAAACGTAAGCTTGGGTGAAATCCGCCCCGATGAAAGCCTGCTCCATGCCGATCCATATTGTTATAGGGATCAATAGTTGTTGGTATGGTTTTTTCAGTTGGTATGCAGTGGCTGAAAGAAGTTGGATTCCGCTCAGTTCGACGGTGCTGTTTCTCCTTTGTTTTTCACCGTATCTGTAAAATAGTTAAATAATATTAAAATGATCAATTATTGATGCAATATGCATATTATAAAAGATTATTAAATTTATAAAATACATAGGCTTAGTGATAATGCGGCATTGGCAATATCTTCCCCACAGACAGTGGCGTATTTCTAAATAGGCTAGCTGAGCTATAGCCTATGGCTCTCCTGTAAAAGACGATTAATAGCGGAGGTAAAACCAAGCTAGTTTTTCATCCGGATGTCCTTTTTTGCTTGGACTGTCTGATTTTATCCAGCAAGTTGGTTTTCAGGATGAAAATATTATCGGCATTACCGTCCACTATAATTTTGTCTTTTAAATAAACTATGTCTGCATTGGCTCGGCATCATTTGCAATATTTTTAGTTTTGGCTAAATTTTGTTTTATGCTAATTGTCCCGTTTTGTCCGCAAAGGCTGTATTTAGGTTTTTATTCGGCTCTACCAAAAACGTCTGCGTTTATCCTATTTTATTAACAATTTCCTGCATTTCGTTCATATATCTTCGAACGAATTAATTCGCGTGTGCCTCATTTTGTTCTATCTAATTTCGTCTCTTTTTAGTTGGCAAAACATCTTCAATAATCCGATGTTGATCGTCTGTAGGTACAAACATTACGTCCATGTTCGTTTATTTTCGTCCGGTTTTTTTAAACCGTTTATGTCGGTTTATGCCGGTTTTATCTTCATATATTTTTAGGAAAAAGGTCATTAAATAATAAATGCTTTAACATGTTTCTAGGGATCCAGAAATTTCGTTTGAGGGGTCACGTACCGTGGGATGAGTTTAACGAAACAGTATTATTTTTTTTAAATTATTTATGTATTAGGTACAATAATAAATTGCCTTTGGGGGAGGGTCGTAACCCCAATAACCCCCTTGGATCTGCGCTTGTATATTTTATCAGATACAATACGTTGAAGCGAATTTTTAAATTACCTTTTAAAATAAAAACAAATCCAGATTATAATATTTAATAAATCCACTATCTAAAACTATGTTCTAAAACAATAATTTATTAAAAAAACCTTAATGGTGGGTTTTCCAAAAAAATATATATACAGATAATGTTTATTATACAAAATAAATATGTACGTGCATTTTTAAATTAAATTATGTAAAGTTTATTTATATGATATTTCAGACGATCTAGTTGAAGAGATCTTACACCTTAGATCGTATTTGGGACAAGTAGACGAAAAACATAAATATCAACAATATGTGCATACGAACCTCTATGGAATTAGTTTTCAGAATCTACAAATCAATGTCAGTAAGCAATTTTTCTTCGGAACGTTCATTTTTATACTTGAAACGAATTAAAACCTACTTATGAATCGACGTTCGCAATTAAGAACATCGTATCTTGATTTTTGGCAAAATTTAGTTAAGATCATATTTCTATATAAAAGTGTCGTCTTTTTCAATGATTGACTTTTTTTTTAGAAATTTAATGAATAAACATTTTTGAAGAATTAAAAAAAACTGAGTGATTTAAATAGCGAAATTTTTGCCGAAAATTGAGATATGATGTTCTTATTTGCGAACGTCGATACATTATGTTCCATGTAGAAAGAAAGAAAGAAAGAAGGAAAGAAAGAAAGAAAGAAAGAAAGAAGGAAAGTAAGAAATAAAGAAATTATAAATTAAATTAGTAGCCAATATAGGAAGGTCATATTTATTTAATTTATAAAACAATACACCAGTAAATATTTTTACAATACCACTAAGGAGTGTTTTTATCCTAAATTAAGTTTTGGTATATTTATGTAGATTACATCAGCGTATTAAAATTATTTATGGATTAAACGTCATTAAATTAATTGAAGAGTAACTGTAAATTTTGTTGTAGTGTGTCTGCGTGTAATATTCAGCCGGATTAATTTAGCCTAAGGTAAAAAATACAGCATGAAAACAGTTATATGTTCAAATAAATAAACAAAAATATTTTTATGTGGCGTCAAGGAAGTGCGGAGATTATAGTATCTGTCTGGCTTTCCAGTGGCAAATGAAGGAGAGAATGTATTAACGGAATATTTAGGAATTTATTTAGGCTACATACAAAATATACATTTGCGAGTTATATTTATCTCTTCGTATTATATGCCAAATATATAATAATATATATTATACAGGGTGTCCTGGAAAAGGAGGTCAATCAGTTAACCATATATTCTTTGAGTTAAAACAATAAGAGTTTCATAATACCATTTTTCAATTTAGAGCTTCATGTTCGATATACAGGGCGACAAAGTTTGAAATTTAAAACTGATTTTTTTTAATAATTCAAGTAATTGATAAGTTATTAAGTTTGAATTCGGTACACAACTTCAACATAAATAGTTACATTTATGAGACCAACAAAACAAAAAACAATTGTCAAATAATCAAAATAGGGGGGGTCCAGTACTCACTGACTCCCCCTATTTTCTAGTACGTGCGCCAATGACTTCCAAACGGTATTTTTTCAGGTAATCATTTCTTGTTGAAAATTTTTTGTCTCTTAAAAAATTTTGATAAAATGATTTGTTTTAGAGATAATTTGTAAAGTATGGGTCAATCCATATCAAATTTTTGAAATTTAATTTTTTTTTGAAAAAATTTAGGTCATGTGATATATCATAAAAAAGGTCTCTAATAGGCCTTTAAAATAAGCTATCACTCACATTTCTACTTTTAATAGTTTACGAGATATCGCTATTTTTGTAAGTACTTGCAAAACCTAAATTTATCGGAATTTTTTGATTTTCAAATATCAATAAAACAAAAACCACCAATCGAAAAAAATTCATATATGGGATTTTTGAGTTTTTTAGTGAGGTAAACAAATTTACCAAAAATTATCAAAATCGGAGATGGTTGGGGGAAGAACCTTTGGTTGATTTGATATGGACTGACCCATACTTTACAAATTATCTCTAAAACAAATCATTTTATCAAAATTTTTTAAGAGACACAATTTTTTTTACAATAAATGATTACCTGAAAAAATACCGTTTGGAAGTCATTGGCTCACGTACTAAAAATAGGGGGAGTCAGTGAGTACTGGACCCCCCCTATTTTGATTATTTGACAATTGTTTTTTGCTTTGTTGGTCTCAAAAAATGTAACTATTTATGTTGAAGTAGTGTACCGAATTTGAACTTATTATCTTATCAATTACTCGAATTATTAAAAAAAAACAGTTTTAAATTTCAAACTTTGTCGCCCTGTATATCGAACATGAAGCTCTAAATTGAAAAATGGTATTATGAAACTCTTATTGTTTTAACTCAAAGAATATATGGTTAACTGATTGACTTCCTTTTCCAGGACACCCTGTACAAATAAATTGTGATTTTTTAAATTGTTTGCAGATTACCTAATAATTAAAATTATACAAATTCTATGTTTTAAGTACAGTCTTAGCTAGGTATATCTTATTATAAATTTTATGTAGGGAATACTAAAAATGGTGCATACAAAAAATTATAACTTTTTTTCTTAAACTTTAAAGTATATAGGTAATAAAAGTAAAAATATTACCCAAAAATTTGATTATTTGACAATTGTTTTTTGCTTTGTTGGTCTCAAAAAATGTAACTATTTATGTTGAAGTAGTGTACCGAATTTGAACTAAATATCTTATCAATTACTCGAATTATTAAAAAAAAACAGTTTTAAATTTCAAACTTTGTCGCCCTGTATATCGAACATGAAGCTCTAAATTGAAAAATGGTATTATGAAACTCTTATTGTTTTAACTCAAAGAATATATGGTTAACTGATTGACTTCCTTTTCCAGGACACCCTGTACAAATAAATTGTGATTTTTTAAATTGTTTGCAGATTACCTAATAATTAAAATTATACAAATTCTATGTTTTAAGTACAGTCTTAGCTAGGTATATCTTATTATAAATTTTATGTAGGGAATACTAAAAATGGTGCATACAAAAAATTATAACTTTTTTTCTTAAACTTTAAAGTATATAGGTAATAAAAGTAAAAATATTACCCAAAAATTACTCCGTAAAAAATTGTATTTTTTACTGAAATACTTTGTGAGCGTCAAATTTACTGGAGCATATCTTGCATTTTTAATGAAAAAGTAAAAGTAGAAGTATTTTGGGTAAAACCTTCAAAAAAAATAAAAATAGATGTTCAAGAACTATCAATCCTTGAAATTTGTTCAAAATATTTTTTGCAGCAGGGCTTATCCTTGAAGTGTTTTACGCTAATTTTACTCTAAAAATCTTAAATTTAAAAATTTGCTGTACTTAAATCTTATCGCCATTTTAAACAAATTTAGCACATTTCACGACACAATAATGAAAATCAAATTTTTTCTATTGCATAAGAATTTGAACGTAATTTGGAAAATTGAGGTAAAATAGTTTGTAGGTATTTTAATAACTATTATTTAACTGGTTTCAGAATCTGAAATTCAAATACCGTTTTTTTGAGTTTTTTTAAAGATTAGAACGATTAAAAACTTATTTAATTAATGTTTTAAATTATATATTATAAAATAAACCTCTTCTCTTATTTAATAATATTAATAAAATATTTAATATATATATTTTTAATTAGTTAAATAAATTCCAAAAATATACAGAAAAAATCAAAATTTACGAGATAAATGTAATTTAATAAAAATAAAAATACCGAAGATCAGTGTTGAGTTCACAAGCGTACTACTCGTACAGTTTTTAACCTTAAGCGCCAGGGCAAAAAAGAGATATTCCATGCCCAAAATTTTGCTCCAAATTTTGCTCCGGCCTTTAAGGCCGATTCTCACATAGCGGCGCGACGCTACGCTACGCGACACTTTAAAATGTAGCTGAAGAAAGATTTCCATGCATTTAAATGAGACAATTCCCACATAGCGACGCGACAAAATTTTGTCGCTTCCTGGAGCGAGAATAGGGCGCGATTTTGAAGCATCGCGTCGCGTAGCGTCGCTATGTGAGAATCAGTCTTAAGAACCTGAAGTAACAAAGAGGGGATA